CGATATGAAAGTGATCTAGAACTATTGAAAGTTGGTGATTGGAATGTTTTGAATATCCAGGGGAATACCTGGAAATCGTCTCACAGTTGGACTGGGTTGAGTTCTGTTTCCTACTTGGCTTGAGATGAATTTTATCTTGAAAAATGACCTAGACTCCTGTAAATGCGACCGCAATGACTATAATACAGACAAAATATGAAAAAGAAAGCAAAAAGCGCCAGTCCAATGAAGTACAGAATAGTACAATTAGGCGATGTTTCCAGCCATGCCCATGAAAATAGCCTGGGCGGCCAGCTGAAGGGACCAGAACCCGACTTTCTTGAACCGCCTTTTCCGGGCTTGGTCATCCACGACATCTCGGGCAAACGCGTCGTAGGTCTAGAGAAGGTATCAGCAACGATCGGGGTAAGGAAAAAGAGAAAGAGTACTCACTGCAGCTGACAGGTCATCCATCAGGCCGCTGTCAAAGACGGTCCAGCTTCCATCAAAATCTCCAACGCGCTTGACCAAGCGGCAATTGATGGGAATAAAAGTTCGTTTGGAGTTGATATAGGCAACAATAGGACGGATCAGTGCGTTGTTAATATAAGAAAGGTCGCTGGTGAAAATGGGCACGGCAGCCCGGACGTTGTTGAGGTGCACGCGCAAATCCATGGCAAGGAAGCGCCGATCTTCAGACTCTGATTCTGGACTGGAGGACGAGGATAGAGACTCCGGGTAACGATTGGTAGTGACAGTGGTTTCCAACCGATCATAGAAATCTACCATCACCTTGGCCAAGCTCTCATCGTTTTCTGCAGGTAACATGATGTCGGCCACAATGTCTACTGTCCCTTCGTGAATCCAAGAGAAAGGACCCTGAACACCGCGGTTGAGATGGTCGACATTGAGTCCGTCGACCCGAATCCTGTTATGTTTCTTCCACGGGCTTGGCTTGCCGTCCTCTTCTGCTTCACTATCCTGCCGGATACCAGTGAATCCATGGCTTTGACGAGCGTGGATCGTGAACAAAGAGTTGTCATACGATCCAGACATCATGTTGGCAGAGAGGAAATCGTAGAAGAGCCATTGCTTCCGCAACTGAGGGAGGTCGCATGAGAAGATGCTCACAGAGAAGGGACGGAAGTTGTCGGGTTGGTAAATGGTGACAAGCAAATCATGCATCTTGAAAGAGTCGATCTCAAAGTCACCGGGAGTATGCTCATGTCGGTAGGATTTAGGATCTAAATCATCCTCCGGCCAGTAAACATGGCGGCGGTCGACAACACCCCGGATGCCTTTTACCTCAACATCATGAAGTGGGCCCTTTCCATTGAGCCATTTGGTAAATGATAATGTCACGTTGACGGTCTCGATCGACAAATCGAATTGTGTGTAGTTAGTATCTTCCTCTTCATCAGATACTGCCTGAGAATCTTCGAATCCAGTGTCGCCTCGAGCTGCGGCAGCCGCTGCCGCAGACTTCGGCGATCCCTTACTGACATGACCTGTGCCTTGGCCTGGCCGTTTTGACACAAATACATTCTTGAAGGTGATGACGCCATTTTTCCATTTGGGCACGATTGCGGATTCAAAAACGACTTTGACTCCAGAGGACTTGGTGAGATAGTTGCCTACCCACCCTGCCAATGTTTCTGTCCAAGCACATTAGTATCCAGACCTTACTGCAACAAAAAGTGGACGCACCTTGAGCAAAGACTGTGTTGATCGCAAGGATCAGAAGGGAGAAGAAAGTAGTAGTTCCCACGACGACCCAGACAATGTGGCCCAGCAAAACCCACGAAAATAGGGCAGCTATCTCATCCAAATTGTAAGGACGAACACTTCTTATAGAAAACCATTTAAATCGTACTTTGAGGCGTGACCAGAACCCAGTTGCTGCGGCCAAAAGTTCCTCCTTAGTTGGTCGATGTAGGTGAGGCATATGTGGTAAGCGATCCATTAAGTGGCGACTGTTCGTTGTGGATTGTTGAGTATCTTGGGGTGGTTTGACTTGTGAATGTGTGGTGGATGTATCTTTGCCGAATTGGCCGGCATTCCGGGAATGGTCATTTTCGTTGCGTTCATGAGTGTCTTGAGAAACTTCTTTCCCACGTCGATGGTCGTTCGAGGTATTTAAAGTTCGCTTCCAGACATACTGGGCGGCAATTTTGGGAGAGGAGATGATGCATGCTGCAGTAGTGTCCGCAGCAGTTGAGGTAGGCGAGACGCCGAGGACGAAGAAGCCGCCAGAAGCAAATCTTTTGGTGAGACCAGTGGGTTTCTTTGGGAGTGTCGAGATGCGTCGAGAGTGATTTGAAAGGGACGAATCGAGGAATAATCTTGAGCTATAAGCATTGGAGGCCGATACGCGATTAATTCGTATGCGACCAAGAAATGGATTTGCTGTACCCCAGATATGGGTGTAGAGCCGGCGTCCCAGATTGACAGACATGTTTGTCTTTACATCCTGGACATGGATGAGAAACTTGACAAGAAGATAGGACAGACACACTGTATCATGAACAGCAGTTGACTTGTTGATAAGAAGCTTCCAAGCTTTCGAGAGTTGCAAGGAACCCGGATGAAATCATCGGAGTTTGTCTTGTTTGCATCAAAAAATTCCCTTCCGCCCACACTTCATTTTTCCGTGAGGGGGACTGATTAAATTTTGCGATAACAGTTTTTATGGGAAAAAAAAACTTCATTCTTTAATCAACACAATGTCGGCACCTACAGCTCTTCGTCAGCCAGAGCAGGCCCTAGGGTTTCAGCCTGAGACCGTCTCTCATGGTTAGTGCTCGATCTGATCTGCAAAAAAAAAAAAAAATCTTTCCATAGCTAACCATCAATAGATCAGGATGATGAAGTTTTGATCGATGTACAAGCCACCAACGAGGGCGCCCCGGTCAACCCCGTTGCCGAGTCTGCGGAGGACAATGAAATGCGCATCGACGAGGAAGGTCGGCCTGTCTTCACCCCGGCCACAGACGTCGCTACCGCATATAAGATCGAAACACGAAAGGTGCCTGTCCCACCGCACCGTATGACCCCGCTCAAAGCGAGCTGGGCCAAGATCTGTCCTCCTATCGTCGAGCACCTCAAGTTGCAAGTGCGAATGAACATCAAAACCCGATCAGTCGAACTGCGAACCTCCAAGTTTACCAACGATGTGGGAGCTCTGCAAAAAGGTGCCGATTTCATCAAGGCCTTCACTCTTGGTTTCGATCTCGACGATGCGATTGCCCTTCTCCGACTTGATGATCTGTACATCCAAACTTTCGAGATCAAGGATGTGAAGACTTTGAACGGAGAACATCTTGGCCGTGCCATTGGACGTATTGCAGGCAAGGATGGAAAGACCAAGTTTGCCATCGAAAATGCTAGTCGGACACGAGTGGTACTTGCAGACCAGAAGATTCACATTCTGGGTGGATTTAAGAACATTCACATTGCCCGAGAGGCAATTGTCAGCTTGATTTTGGGTAGCCCACCGGTAAGTCTTGATCGTATCAATTTTCAAAGGAATACTTCTAACACAAAACAGGGCAAGGTTTATGGCAACCTTCGGACCGTCGCCTCGCGCATGAAGGAGCGCTTCTGATTCCACGACTCATTTATCTCATCCGGCATGGTGTGGGCGTTCAGGTGCATCAGGTTTTACGCTGTCTTCTTTTTTTTTTTGACCTTAGAGGCATGACGACGTATAACGTAAAGATATCAATTCATGGAAATTTCATTCATCTCGATTATGTTTGTGATCAACAGATCAAAAAAGAGCCCCGCGCCTGATAAGAAGGCCATGATCTACCATGTGCTATACTCTAATCCTGCTTCAGGGCGTGGAACACCTCCTCGATTCCTTCCCGTGTAACAATCACCATCTGCAAACCATCGCCAACCTCGATATGTCTCTCCACAGCACTTGTAAAGGCATCCTGTACAAGCTTCTTGGCCGTCTCCTTGTCCAGAGGCTCAGCCTTCTTAGGCACAAGGGCATGTCCTTCTCCGCTTCCCGGGATGTATTGGTTCTTGGAGTTGACTTGGTTGTCCAGGAAAGGCATGATCAAGCTGGATGCCGCACCGGCAGCCCGGCACTGTTCCCGCTCGTAAGAGCCCACCGGGTCGTAGCTGTACAAAGCTCCCACGCCTTCCTCATCCAGACCAGCCAGAATAGCATGTACGTAGTACGGGAAGAATCGCTTCTCGTAGAGAATCGTCGACAATCGCTGTGCACATGCTCCCACTGACATGGATTTCCCATGTTGGTACTTGTACATCTTCACCACGGTGTCCAGCTTTTCCTTGAGAGCGTTTCCATCCGCTGCGAAACCAACAACGGAAAGAATGATAGTAGCTCCCTCGCCAGTCTCATCATCACCGCCGATCTTGAAGACTTTGGGGACCATGCGAGAGTTGATATTGTAGCCTGATGTGGAACGAGTGTCACCGGCGAGGATAGCGAAATCAGCACCCGTGATGCCGAGGGTGGAACCGCCATTATCGGTGTAACTAGTGCAACTGTTAGCCAATGTTCCTGCTCAATATGATCAAGTTGTTCCTTACGGGTAGAACGAATGTTGTTTGACATTAGCGGATGTTGGCTCAGAGAAGGAGTATCCGATAGTCCCAGACTGGTTACCCATGAGCGACGTCATTTTCGGGGAGATGGAGCTTGATCGGGAGAAAATGTCGTAACAGCAGCTTGATAAAAAAGATTAAAGTGTTGAATGTAGAAGATTCTCGAGATTGGGGAGTCCTGGAAGATGGAGAGCAGAGAAGCTGGGTGTCTGACGCGATGCGGTAGCTGCCTTCTGATTAGGTAAGGAATATCCAAGCTCCCCGAGAGCCCTGGAGGGCTGTCTCGATAGTTACTCTCGGCGCCTCATTTATTCCTGGTCGTTAAATTTGACATACTCTGATTCGCTACAAAAAATTGTCCACATCTCTGGATATTATTATAGTGTCCACTTGATCTCCTTCATTCTCGAGGCTTATACCTAGATACAAACTGCGACGTGATGCTCGGTCTCGGTGACTATGAGAGCAGCAGTGATGAGGAGGTAGAGCACAAGGGTCCTTCATCCAATTCCCAGGTATCTTGAGGCCCCAAAGAGCAGCACCAAAGAGGTGCTAATTTAAAGCAATAGCACCAGAAGGATATTCCACCTACAGCCTCACAAGCTGGCCAAATCGAAGGTAACATGCCTCTGAATTCCCCGCGGGCCAGTAAGCTCCAAGAGTTTGCGCTGACAATTTATCCAGATAATAAACAATCGCACCAACAACAGACAGACACAGGATTCCACGTTGCCACTGATTCAGTCCCAGAAGGACCTGTCCTTGGCCCCGCTTCTATCGACATGGCGCCGCTCTCGGAGGACAAGCATTCGACAAGCGGACGCTCATCTCCCTTTTCGGCTTCACGAGGACTCGTTCAAGACCTTACTCTCCCTCCAGTTCCCAATTTAGACATCCCGCCATCACCTCCTGGGTCTCCCAACCCAGCCGCGAGCGCGAAATTCGAGCATTTCCTCTCGCTCAAAAAGCAAGGCGTACACTTCAACTCCAAATTGGCCAGCTCGTCATCGCTCAAGAACCCAAGCTTGCTGAAGAAGATGATGGAACATGCTGGGATCAATGAACAATCGCAATATGACACCTCGCTGCTAGCCGACTTATGGAATCCCTCCAGTCTACCTAAATGGGGTTTCAAAGAAGAGCTCTTACGAACCCAACAAGATTTCCGCAAACAATCGGAGGAGAAAAAGGCATCAGGCCAGCGAAGCTCAGTTGATTTTGTCTCTGGGTCTGCCTGAGGATTCATTCAGCGGCAACTGGGCCAAAAAGATCAACCCACAGTATCCCACAACTCGAGTGGCGTCGGGTGCGACTGTTCTTTCGAAAAATGCGGGCATTCAAATTTATGAACTGAAAGGATGCTTCGAGCGCATAACCTGAATGCTTAGCATATTCAGTAACAAAGATCGCCTGTCCGACAAGGGAGCTTACGTTCTGGTATCCTATCCTTCCAGAAGAACTCTTCTATCCTCGATCAAACTCGAGGTCTATATGCCCGTCTTGGAGAAAGATACTGGTGGGATATCCAATACCTCTAGAAAGAGTCCTAGAAAGAGGGTATCGTTGTACCCTCCCAATTGACATAGCGCACACTTGGACTCGTGTATATTATCATACTTGTGGATCATACATTGCAACAATCATATTTGTTTCAGCCACCACCACCGGATGAACTTTGTTTGCGCCGCCTCGCCTTCTCACGCAGACTTAAAACAAGAAGCCAACACCATTCGATCAAAGTCCTCTCCGTATTCCACTCGGATTTGAAGTTCCCCAACTCTTCTCGGTCTTCTCGCACCTGAAAATACGGCCATAATCTGCTCAGTTTGCTCGTCCACCAGCGTATAGTTTCGGCTAGTCCATTTAGCGGTGCTGAATTTTCAACATCAATGTTGCGTGTTCAGGAATGACCGCCTCCCGCTCTGAGTTTGATCGGCTTCACTTTGAACTGTCATTTCGAGGCGATATTTGGTTTGTGAAGGATTTCCCTAGTCATGTCCTCCCACTGGATGTTTATCACATCCCCGGGGCTCCCAATGCCTATTTTTGATCACCGCATGACTTCAATCATTTGGAGACGGCCACAATTTGGGCCTTGCTGCTAGTACCAGGATGGATAATAAGCTCGGACTTGTTAGGGGTGAACATAGATACCTTGGCGTAAAGCAGAGGCTGGTCATCCGCAGAGTTGACATCGTAGTGCCTGCGTGAAGAGCTATGATCGTCAATGGGAGCGGCAGATGCCGTTGACCCAGCTCGACTTGAATCTGGAGAAGACATTGAATTCCCCCAAAGGAAGTCTAGATATTCAAAGATTGTCAAATGGAAGGAGATATTGCCGGCCACAGTGTCGTCTATTATACGAGGTCCATAAGTTTTCGAGGCGAAGTACTCCGTATTGTACCTGAGATTGTCCCTTTGGAAGGGAATACGAGCACTAAATCAGGTTGGGTTAAAGTATAAACCTCGGGAGTAACTAGATAGTTTTAGTATAGTTAAAATTTTGGCTTTAATTTTTCAAATGAATGTATTTAAAGGAGATATAACAGTTGTATAAAAGTCTAGATTGGTTGATATGTGAGCCCTGCTCCGCCGTGATCGAGACTTAGTCAGCCGAGCTCTCCGTCAGCTCGACTGCCTAAGGTAGCTCCCCATCTATCGTCATCACTTTAACTGTGCTATCCATCTGTTGTTCCCTCCTTGTCCGCAATTTACCTCCTTTCTTCATATCCCGTTGAATCTGCCATTTATCTTCATTCATCATGAACCACTCCCCTGAAGCTTGGGGTCGCGTAGGTGGCACAACTTTCCCAGTCCTTGCTCTGTTGCTAACTATCCGTCCAGCCCAGGAACGATGTCTACGGTGCCTACGATCACTCATATTTGCAGACCACAGGTCCCAAGGCCCATACCTCATCTCCTGCAGTGACGGGAACGTCAGTGGTGGGTGTCAAGTTTAATGGTGGTGTCGTTATAGCTACCGACAACCTGGGTACGCCGTTCCGTTGTCACGTACCGTTTCCTTCGCTGCATTGCCATCTGACATGATATGATTTGTGAATTTATAGCCTCCTACGGATCCCTGGCTCGTTTCTCCGACGTGAAGCGTCTGCGTAAATTCGGCGATAAGGCAATGGTTGGCTTTGGCGGTGACGTTTCCGACATGCAATATCTCGACCGTCTCCTCGACTCCATGGATATCAAGGAGAACTACTCGCCTCACGGCAACATGCTCAACGCCAAGAACCTGCACACCTACCTCGCAAAGGTTTTCTACAAACGACGCTCCGAGTTCAACCCGCTGTGGAACCACGTCCTTGTCGCAGGCTTCGATGCGGAAGGAGAGCCCTTCCTTAGCTCGGCAGATTTGCTCGGAACGACATTCTCTGCTCCTCACCTCGCTACAGGATTTGGTGCTCATCTTGCGGTTCCGATCCTGCGCCGCAAGTTCCCCGAGGGTACCCCCCTTGAACAAGTCAGCAAGGAAGACGCCATTGAGGCTTTGAAGGAGTGCTTGAAGGTTCTGTTTTACCGCGATGCACGAAGTACCGACAAGTACTCGATAGCCGTGATCACGAAGGATGGTATTGATCTGAAGGAGGACGAGCAGATTCAAGGTCAGAGCTGGGCCTTTGCCGAGAGAATCAGGGGATACGGCGCCCAGACTGCTTAGATCCTTATTTATGTTTTTCTTTTACATGTAATGCACACGGAATTACGGATGCAAAGATAGTTTTTGGGTCCAAATAACCACAATGGTCAAATGCAAAGACTGAAACGTGCAGGTAGTTATGTACAACTTGAACCAATACCAACCCGTTCATTGGTCTCAAGACAAGTTCAAGATAAATAAATTTAGAGCTTGGCGCTAGGCTTGTCAAAGACCACCCGGTTGACACAGGACCCGACACCCTCTAGCGCAACCTCGACTTCATCGCCGTCCTTCAGCCACACAGGAGGCTTGCGGCCCATGCCCACGCCTTGGGGTCTGTCGAATAGTTAGTCTATCGTATTCAAACCGCCGTTTACTTGCTCATCAAGATGTACTCACGTTCCAGTGAAGATAAGATCTCCGGGCAAGAGCGTAGTTCCCTGAGACAGGAAAGCTATCGTCTTCGCCACGCCGAAGATCATATCCTTAGTCGAGGAAGACTGGACCGTCTGCCCATTCAACTTGGTCGAGATATCCAAGTTATTGGGATCCGAAATCACACTGGAAGAAACGATGCCAGGACCAAATGGTGCCCAGCCATTGAAACCCTTACCCAGTGACCACTGACTACCACCCCGTTTGATCTGCCAATCACGGTGAGAAACATCGTTACCGACAGCATAACCCAGGACATAATCCAGCGCCTTGCTCTCGGGGACATTAGTGGCCTCTTTGCCGATAACAACGACCAGTTCACACTCGTAATCCAGACCCTCGCCCTCCTGGGCAAGCTGGGCCACGGGGATATCATCTGTGGGCCCGGAAATTGAGGTGATGGGCTTGTAGAACAAGATTGGATACGTGGGAATGGGCATTTTCGTCTCCTTGGCGTGTTGCTCATAGTTGAGACCCAGGCATCGGACTGTGCCGATATCCTTACGGGCCAGGGGTGCGAGGAGCATTCTCACGTCTGCGACCTGGTCGGTAATCCGGTACTGGCCGAAGATGTCACCCTGGATGATTCTGGCATTGGTGGCTTTGGCGATATCGCTCACTCCCGATGGGAGTATAGCATCGCCGTAATAGATTTGGCCATCCTTGGCCAGGAAGCGGATGAGGTGCTATTCGGAAAATCAGTATATGTTGATGCAATGAGTACTTTCAATCACGTAATTGATCTAATGTTTATTTTTCTACGTTTTGTTTCTCGTAAAATGATAGAGATTAATTTTTGCACTCACAGTAAAGGTAGACATCGCGAAATACGTATGCAATATGGGGAAGTTGGAAGTTCGAGGGAAATGGAGATGGGGGTGATAGCTGAGCACTCGGCCGGGAAAGACGCTCTTTTTCCCCAGAGCGGGAAACATGTCCAGCTCCACCCAATGATTCGCAAGCTTTTCCCCTCTTCATATTGAGATTCACAATGGCTAGGTTATCCGGTCTCCAGAGAGATGTTCTGTCTCTATACCGAAAATGCCTACGGGAGATCCGAAATAAGCCCGAGGTGGGTTATATCACCTCATCGCAGGTCAACTTCAGCTGATACCTATTCTATTGTAGGACTCTAGGATCAATTTCAAGAAATATGCCCGGTAAGGTTCCATCAGTTCCCTATCTGCCTATCCCCCTATCTCACTGCCCTTTCCTTTGCTTTGCTTTTCCCTTCCCCGACGCCATCCCCCTAGATATCGGTGCACTCCGGCTAAGATGGGATACAGCGCAGAGTTCCAAAAGCACCTGTCGGTGAATAAGAAGGACTTTAGCACCGTTGAATATCTCTTGCGCAAAGGCCATCGACAGCTCGAGTTATATTCTACCCCAGGAATCCGCAATATCCGATGAGCGGACGGTCCCAGACCCCAGAGTCTTAGTTCTTCGGGGCGCCTAGACAGCTAGTTCTGTATGTCTCGCGCCTTTCAGCCTCCTGTCTCCACCAGTTCACTCATTGAAATAGAATCGGAGTTGCCCATGCGTCGCCGGTTCCACCCAGGACGGATTCCTGTGAACATTTTGAACATGTTACGCAAAAGGCATGACTATGCGTGATATTGTTGAGGCCTTGTTTTGGAGGCATTTTGTATAATAGTAAATCACAGTATATCATAGACTGTTGAGTCATTAGAGCTTTGTCATGGAGTATTCTGCTTATACTACTGTACCACTACTAGTACTGACTCATTGTAAAACCCTTGGAAGTTTCGAGGTTCAAAAAGTAATTACCAATCACACATTATTCATACTGTCTAGAAAGTGCATTTGTCAAAGCTATTAGATTGTTGGAATTCTGTATGTATGGAATGGAGTGGTTGTGTCTTGAAGTTGCTGGCGGCTTGTCGACTGCGCCACAAGTTTCTGGATGCTTCTGCCGAAGTATAAGCAACCAACATCAAGTACAACCAACAACCAAAATTACAGATATAAAATAGCAGATATTCCAGGACAAATCCAACAGAACACAATCTTCACAGCCTCTCAGATACTCTCTATCTATCTATCTTCCAACTTCTTCAATCCAGAAATCTCCAAATCCCAAACAATGGCCTTCTTCACCCAATCCGGCCTTTCGCCACTCTTCCTCTTCAATGACTATGAGGCTCCAACCCAATACAAGTCTCGCCAATGTCCCAAGTCCTACCAGTGCTCTAAGCCCCAAGCACGCAGCTCCTCATTCGCACCAGCATTCGACGTGCGCGAGTTGACACATGCCTACCACCTCGACGGCGAACTGCCAGGCGTGGACCAGAGCAACATCGAGATCGAATTCACCGATCCACACACCCTCGTGATCAAGGGCCACACAGACCGCGAGTACATCAATGACGACACTGAGAGCAACAACGATGCCAGCTCAAGCCGCAGCGCGTCTCCTGCAGGCTGGCACCAAGCCACAGTCGAAGACGAGGATGCAGAGTCGACTAGCTCGGCCGACACCGCTGCTTCCAACACTCCTACGCACCCCGCCAAGAACGACCAGCCTCATTTCTGGACTAAGGAGAGGTCGATCGGTGACTTCCAGCGCACTTTTAGCTTTACCGCGCGTGTTGACCAGGACTCTGTTCGCGCGAGTCTGAAGAATGGTGTTTTGTCTGTTGTTGTCCCGAAAGAGGCGGCTCCTACACCGAAGAAGATTCGCATCCTGTGATTTGAAATCAACTTTATGACTGTCTTTTGGATTCGAATCCATGGGCTTGATATATTTGATTGCATTGGGATCTTCGGGTAGCGTTTCTTTCCTTGCTGCATTTGTACTTCTATGAACTGATTTTGTTATGAGAATTAATCTAAATTGATCTTTATTATATTGCTACCCCGTCTTTAGACAGGTAATATGCACCTGCATTACTTAGTAGGCTGTAGAGAAGTTAGCTACTTTGACCCTGCTCCTGGGATGTTAAACTAAAACCCCCTTGCTTGATTGGATAACCTTACTTCGTATAGCCGAATGGCTAGGAAAGCTCTGAACCACTGAATCAGCCACACGGTGAGAAATATGCAAAGGGCAAGATAGACGAAGACTGAGATCGTATCCCATCGGGGACATGCATGCATTGTAGGAACTAGACCAAATAGCCAAGAAAAGCCTAAAATTGCGCAACTCATGTGATGACATACAGAATTCATAGATTTGTGTACAACGCCAGATATGATTCACACCAATTCCACTTCCAATTCCAAAAGGGTATACCTAATAAGACTCCATATCCAAAATGTGTCAAACTCCCGCCAAAGTCCAAAAAACAACTCCATAAACTTTTGTAGACGCCATAGGCAAAGGAGACAAGATCGAAATAGAAATAACATCCAAAACAGAAGATTGACAAGAAAATCATTACTTGAAAAATTAATAAACCAAAAAGGAAGAGGTCATTATATGCACACATCCGTCTGGTGACGGACCTTCGTCAACCGACGGCGGTGGTAGTCATCGTTCCGGCTTCGAGACCGGCCTCGCATCGGCTCAGAGGCCAACTCAGCATCAAGGTCAAGGCCATCCTGCAAGTAACCTGGAGACGTCATAGTGGGCAGCGGAGGAACTTCAACGCCTGGTTTATTGCTCCAAATGCGACTTCTGGATCGGGATAGTTGTTGTGTATTGTACTCTTCATGAATATGATACTCAGAGACGGACTTGCGAAGTCGCTCCTTGGTTTCGGTAGTTGGCTGATGGTGACCGAGTTGTGATTCTCCACTTGTAGCAGACCCTGTAGTAGAAGCAAGATCAGACGAGCTCAAGGACAATCGATCCCCATACAAAGGCCCCCTGCTAAAGCCTTGTTGGCTCTGGTGTGGAATAGAGACCACGGCGGTGGATCTGACCCCGAAGATAGATTCGCGCGGCGAAGAATACTCCGTGTATCGGGGCGCACACAACGTTGACCGACGCGATCGTGACGGGACGAGGGGTGTTGGGTCGGTCGAATCGTACCAGCGAGTAGGGGTTGGATTGAGCCTTGAGTCATCGTCCGGTTTTGTCTGCAGGCTCAGGGGACGCTGCACTTTATCGCCTGATCGATATGAAGCCGAGTCTTTCGGGATATGGACGTTCTTTGAGCTGTCTGCACCACATGAGCCAGACGTCTGTGAGCCAGCAGAACTCTGAGTCCGGCTCCGCTGTACGGAGTGGACTGAGGTGGCAGAGCTGTAGCCACTGTCGGACTTGTTGAGGGATTGAGACGTGCTCCGGGAAAGACCAACGTCCAAAACACCTTTCTCCAATTGGATTCTAGTATCGTCGCAGAGGACAATTCCTTCGTCTTCTGGATCCCCAGGAAACAATGATTTTCTCCGAGGCTGGACTGTGATGGTGGGAGACTTTTCGAAAGAGAATGGACTGTCCGGAACATCGTCCGATTTCTTCAAGTCGGGCAAGGATGGAATCTCCAGCGTCGACCCCCTGCTAGGCCCAATAACCTCTATGTTCTCAAGACCAAGCCCAGAACCTTCCAAAGGGATACGTTCGCTCGGACATGGGGAGGCCGAGCCATTTACCACTCGCAAGGACCCGAGTTTGAGTGCCCCGAGCTGGGTATATCGGGCATCCATCGGACTCGCTGGCCGCACTGGGGATGGCTGACGCATCGGTCTTTGGGTGGAAGGCAATGGCCATTGCAAAACGGTTGACTCAGTCGGGTCCTCGATCGGGTTTTCAGGTTCTCCAATGGGTGATGGGACACGTCGAATTGCGCCTGTTGTGCGTCTTGTGGCAACCCCGGGTCGTGTCAGGAGCGATCGTCGACGTGTTAGTGAGAACCGTTGGTTGCCAACCAAGAAGTGGGTGTTGGAAGAGGTCGCATCCCCAATGTGCTTTTCATAGACAGCGCTATTGTGTCTCTGTAGGGGAACTCGAGTCGAACTGGCCCGTTTTGGTGGATGTTCATGAAGAGGCGAGCATTGGGAAGCTGATTCCCAAGTATCCGACTGGTACGATGTTCTTCTCGAAGAGGTTGTGCTCAACAGGCTTGGGCGGGTTGGACGACGCTGCGTGGGACTCTGATCAACAAAAGTTCGCTCCTCAGTCGGGGTCTCTTCGGGCGACTCTGTTTCAAAAAGGGTAGGTGGGATCTCTGCCTTCTTGGGATGACTACCCCTTTTTTCCACAGAGGTGCTGGGGAGATTTTTGCCAACCCAAGGGTTTTGCCACCCTATCAGTCCTGCATTGATCGTTGGATGATCTGTTTCGGGGCGTTGGGCACTTTGACTGGCATTGAACTTCTTCGTCAGGGGCTTTGAAAGGCGGTTGGAGCGGTGGGTCTCGTCTTTGGCTTTGCTCGATAGGGAGTTGCCCATGACTTCAGAAGCGGATACAATTCCCGTAGATTAGATTTGCTCCAGATTCAACTGGGCATGTGCAGCGGGGACGGTGGCCAGAATGATATACAATTAGGATAAGGGCTTGGTGACAGCGCGAGCACTGTTCCCCGCACGACGATGGGGTGACCTAGGGGATTTCCAAGCTTGTCCCGATAGAGCTTTTCAGATTAGATCGCACCCCCAGACCACTGACGTCAAACCACGTCCTGATTGCCCACAGAGGACGCAATCCGAGCCCCAAGCTCGTGCAACCGCTGGGTTTGGAATTGAGCGTACGATTGGCGGCTCAGGGTTCCCCAACAATCCCGGAGATGACGGGGTCCGTGTTTCAGATTGGGTGCGGATACAGGAATTGGTTGGACTGGAGAGATGGAAGATGGACAGGGAGGATTGAGGTAACGTCAAAGGCAAATAGCCAATCTTCGAAGCCGGGAAGACCCCTTCTCAAAGCAGGATTTGATGATTTCAGGATTTCACGATCTCGGTTCACGGGGAGGTTGGTAGACCAGGGGGGTATATCAAAATCGGCAAATACACGATCGGATCGACATTAAGATTATAGACAATTCCAAATAAAAAAATAAAAAAAAAGAAGCAACTAAAAAAAAAAAGAACAGTATGAATTGGTGGGGGGGGAGAGATAGCTAGGGAAGGGGGAACATACGACACATAAGAAGTGGAGTGAGAATCAGACAAACGAGGTGTATATGCAACTAAACGCTAGAAACAAAAGAAGACGCAAGCATTTCTCACCATGGGTTTCGTATACTCCGTTACTCCGTACGCGCATGAGCATCAGATGAAGAGCTGCATGCAGACAAGGAAGACATCTCCACGCGGGACAGGGAAAAAAGGTACCGCCTCCTTCTGCCGCAACCGGGAAAAGAGGTACTGAGAACTTGCGTTGAAAATGTTGATGCTATACATAACATAAGTACTATCTACCTCCTGACACAGGTAGTATTCTTGACAACTCCATTGTTTCTCTTCTTCCCTTTCTATATCCGGTCCACCGCAATCATATTTTCTTCTATTTTCTTTTCACTTTTACTATCTGTGGATTTAAATTCCTTGTCTCTGATTTGACATACTGTGACAACAAGGTCAAGTGCTGTTACTCTTGCGAAACTCCGTACCCTGGCCATACCGCATTCACAGCTGAGCGTCTGCATCCGGGACACTGGTACGGACTCTACGGAGTACTCTGTACAGAGTAGATGACAGACCTCCCCCAATGCTCCAACCACATGGCTGCATCTTGCTCTGCGTTTCCCTTCCTGGCGCAATCGGAGTTTGAGAGTGCATGTCAAGATCTCGCCGATCGATGCACTTCGGCCCAACATATTGGCTGGTCCGCCATTCGACTGCTCACAAAGGTATCCCTTTCTTTACGCATGAATCATTAAACCTTAATTGGTTCCTGATATTTAATGTCTGAATGGAAGAATGAAGAACTGATGGGAAAATATGGTTTGGATGAAACTAGCCAGATGGAACCAGTCTCAGAATAACAAAATATGTCAATGTCCCTAGCCCGCTAGAAGCCCCAGCGCTGGTGGACGAAGAATCACAGGAAGACGAGGATCCGGTCTGCAGAGTTCTAGCCCCCCCAAGGGACGTGTCCACTGATCACTTGTCCTGACTCTGCACCGCAGGAAGCACTCGTTCGCGCCAAACCCCAACCCAGCTTACAGATCGATTATGACATCTTGTTGTCCCCCACATATCAGGTCCCCGTCTTGTACTTCGGCCTCAGGTGGCACAACCACGGCCCACTCGGACTAGACCACGTCTACCAGTATGTCGTGCCGGAACGGTACAGGCAAGAATTGAAGAGTGTGGGTGTAATGGGTGGGATTAGTATGGGTGTAGGTGCATTCTCCGAACCTCGTGACAAGAGCTCATGTCTTCTTTTTGTTTTTTTCTTGTAGTATCATCCTGACTCTGGCGCTCCGGCCTTCTTTGTCCACCCATGCAACACCGCAGATGCCATGGCGAACGTTGCAGATGCGCAGAGCGTCACTCCTGGGTCATATCTCCTCATCTGGCTCGGCCTTGTAGGCCATTGCGTGAACCTGCACGTTCCACGCGAGCTTTTCGCTTAGCACAGTACCAGCCAATACTCTTGCATATGCTGGAAACGCTGGGGAATAAAAAAAATCAAATGCAAAACGAGGACTTCAAGTCTCTCTCAGTCCCTAGCAGGGCCCCATTCATTAGATTACTCCTCATCCGAGGAAGCTTCCATAGGCACGTCGCTATCTTCATCCATCGGGGCCTCTTCGTTGTCGCTCTCTTCTTCACGCGGTCGCTTCAAGCCCTGGGGCTCTCCATTGGCACCGGTCGTGGGTCGTGCAGGGAGTGCACCTGGAGGACCACCGAAGATCGACCTTTGGAGGTCTGTCGTGACTGGGGCTGGCGCAGCCTCAACTGGCGCAACGTATGTGCCGCGAAGTTTGGAAATGACATTTGATGATCCTTTGGCGTAAACGATTTTCTGGACAACCATTGAATGAGCGGGGGTTGCGACGATAGAAGGACATTGACTACATACCATCTGTTTCCCGAAGAATTCGAATCCTTGTAAAGCCCGCAGTGCCTGTGTACTAGCCTGGACATCCTTGAACACAATATGGGCCTGGCCTCGCATTTTGGCGGTCTTCATGGTCACAACGTCGAGAACGGTGCCGTATGTGGAGAACAGGGCATAGAGTGCCGTTCGGAGATCATTTTTCTGAATTCTCCTGTCGGGCAAATTTGTGCAGTAGAGCCTAAAAATCGTTAGCACCAATACACGATAGTCTGCTATAATTGGAAGGGCAAGCTCACGCCTGGTTAGGAGGGCCGGTAGCAATGGCCTTGCTGTCAGGGCCTCCACGGGCGGGCAATGATTTTGAAGCCATTTCTCAGACGATTAGAAAGGTTAGAGAGACTGTCGTCTGATTGAAGGAGTAAATGGGATAGGGTATGGGGAAATGAAGCTCAATCGCGTGCTGTGTCCACGGCCACCCAAAACCTCGACATAAAAGTAGCTTGGGGTCATGTGATGCGCTCCCTTACTAAGCGCCACCGTCATCACCCCCGGGGCCAGCTCCCCTCCTGGTCCCGCAACTACACAATCAAGTACACAAGCACGACGGTAGAGAGATCCTCCTGTCGTTATTATCTCCAATATGGCCGCTCCTCAGGTTCACCATCTCTTCCACGCACCAATTGCAGACCACTCGTTCTCATCCGACAAGAAGACACTTGCTGTCGCTCGGGAGAACAATGTGGAGCTGTATCAACAATCAGGCAACAAGTTCGCGCTGAGTGATGAGCTCAAGGGCCACGAGAAGACCGTCACCAGCGTTGATATTGCTCCCAACAGTGGCCGAATCGTCACTTGCTCGCAGGGTATGTTTTAGAAAAGCTCCTTTTACTATACGATATACAATACCTAACCGGCATTCGTTCTATAGACCGAAATGCCTACGTTTGGGAGCAAACCCCGACCGGATGGAAGCCTACCCTGGTACTTCTCCGAATCAACCGTGCCGCAACCTTTGTGCGCTGGTCTCCATCGGAGCAGAAGTTCGCCGTCGGCTCCGGCGCTCGAGTGATTGCAGTCTGCTACTTTGAGGAGGAGAACGACTGGTGGATCTCGAAGCACATCAAGAAGCCTATTCGCAGTACTATTACAACTCTGGCGTGGCACCCGAATTCCGTCCTGCTGGCAGCCGGATCGACCGATTCTCACGCCCGAGTCTTCTCGAGCTTCATCAAGGGTATCGATACCCGCCCGGAGCCTAGTGCGTGGGGAGAGCGTCTTCCTTTCAACACCATCTGTGGCGAATACCTGAACGATACTGCTGGTTGGATCCAGGGTGTCGCCTTCTCTCCCAGTGGTAACGCGCTCGCATTTACTGGACACGATAGCAGTGTGACTGTTGTGTACCCTAGCGCCCCGGAGCAGCCCCCACGGGCGATGTTGAATATCGCTACCCGTTTGCTGCCGCTCAACAGCCTTATCTGGAACGGCGAGACCGAGATTATCGCAGCTGGACATGTAAGTCGTTTCTTTTTTTCAGTAATACAACGGCTTGTGCTAACCATATCTAGGACTGTGAGCCCTTCCGTTTCCGCGGCGATGAGAATGGATGGCAACTTGCCGGCTCTCTGGAGAGTAAGGCCGGAGAAGCCGGGGGTGCCCGCGAGGAGTCTGCTTTGAACATGTTCCGGCAGATGGATCTCAAGGGCCAGGCCCAGGCGGACACCAAGCTCAAGTCTACCCACCAGAACACTGTTCACACCATCCGGGCTCACGAAGAAGCCAACGGGGTTGTGAGCTCCTTCAGCAGTAAGACTGTCCCACTGAAAATCCGAAACGTACGAGAGACTAATATATTGTTACAGCGAGCGGTGTCGACGGCCGTGTTGTCATTTGGACCGCCTGATTTGAACTACCTTTTTAATGCTGGCCTTGGTGTATGGTCAGCATGCATATAGTATTGGATAGCTTTCTTCGAGTACATTTCAGTCCCTCGTGACCATTCAGATTACAAGGTCATTGCATTCCCGTACGTTGTAGTTGTAGACCCATGTGCTCCCCCCGGTATCTTGATCGACATGTATCGACCAATAAGGAAACGGATGACATAATGGGGTTACCCCGGATTCCAGTCACGTCTCCGCATCACACGGGCTTGTTCTCTTCCTTTAAAGATGGACTTAAACCCCCCCCTCCTACCAATTAAATATGTTGAGCCATGTCTAGCACTTTTTTCTTTCCTTTACTACTATACATCTGTTTCCTGAGCCTCGCCACGGCCCAGAACAAGAAGCATGTATCAACCGATCTATTCAACTCCCTGGAAGAGTTATCCCGGCTAGTGGACATTTCATACTGCGTCGGAACAACAGGAGTACAACAACCATTCCAGTGCCTCAGCCGCTGCGACGAGTTCCCAGATCTAGAACTAGTAACCGTGAGTCACCCACCTCCACCCAAGCACTACACTCATCTCCACAAAGACACACAACCCACTAACCCAACCCAACCACCCCGCAGACCTGGAACACAGGCGTACTCCTCTCCGACTCATGCGGCTACATAGCCCTCTCTCACACCCCGTCCGCCAAACAAATAATCCTCGCCTTCCGCGGCACCTACTCAATAACAAACACAATAATCGACCTCTCCGCCTATCCCCAAGCCTACATCCCCTACCCAGACCCGGAAGAAAACACCACCAGCACCATCCCAGTCCCCGCAGGTCCACACTGCGAAAACTGCACCATCCACGCGGGCTTCATGCGTTCATGGCTGCACACCAGAACTGAAATCCTCCCAGCCATCACCACTCTCCGCCAACAATACCCAGACTACGCTATAACGCTAGTAGGCCATTCCCTTGGCGGCGCTGTCGCGGCACTAGCAGGACTAGAGATGCGTCTGAAGGGCTGGGATGCGACGGTGACGACGTTCGGGGAGCCGATGATCGGGAACGCGGCGTTCGCCGCATTCCTCGACGAGCAATTCGGGCTCGGGGATGGGATATCGATTCCACCGCTTGAGGGGGGGATGCGATTTCGTCGTGTTACGCATATCGGTGATCCGGTTCCTATGTTGCCGCTTGCTGAGTGGGGGTATAGTCCTCATTCCGGGGAGGTTTTTATTATGAAGGAGGGACTGCCGCCGCGGAGGGAGGATGTGGTTTATTGTGTTGGTTGGGAGGATCCTGGGTGTATTGCGGGTAACGGGGTTGAGGGGGTTTTGGTTGAGTTATATCGGGATTTGAATGTTCCTGTTGGGTTGGCTGGGTATGATTCTGGTGGAAATGGGTGTCGGTTGAGTGGTGATGATGGTAGTGCTGTGTCTGAGGAGCAGGCTGTTTTGGGACATGAGAGTCCAGATATTGCTGACTGTGAGGATAGATTATCGCCTCTTCGGTGGGATTGGTCGCTTATACCGGCGAGGTATCGGCTTTGGGAACTGTTTTATGCTCATCGGGATTATTTTTGGCGGATTGGGCTTTGTGTTCCTGGGGGAGATCCAACTGGGTAGACTATATCTATCTATTCGGGGTGGATACTGGCGTTGGTTGATATGCGGATACCCCATTGTGTACATTATCAGGTACCTTGCTCTACGAGAAATGACCTTATTTCAATCTGATATCTATCATTCCTCTAAGTTACTCTAAAGCAATTGCAAGTAGCGAAAAATCAAGTCAGAACAGCGGTATAATTGTCTCAATATAATCAAACAGGCTAGGGGAGCAGGGAAGACAAGAGCGAGCGGATATGCAACGCCAAAAAGAGCCAATTGAGAACCATCAGAAAAAAAGAAAAACAATAAGAATGCTGTGCAATAAACAAGACAAAAATCAAAACCAAAGGGAACTTCAAGTCACATATAAGAAAGACCGTCAAACCTCAGAATCTTCAGCGACCTTGATCCAAACTCGGCACAATAACAGGTCCAAATTTAACCACATTTCCAAGCGCCCCATCACCTTGCACCATGAAGTCCGCCGCAAGACTCAATTTACTAGCGCCGGATGGTATATGTCCATAGGAAGGATTAACCGCCTCGGGGTCATAAGCCACAATAGCCACGTAGTTCCTGCGCGCCATGAGCTTGCGGTACTCACGCGCCTGGCCGTTGACGTCTGTTTGGAAGATCTCCATCATATCTTCCTTGGTATCGCTCACCTGGCCGGAGGATCTGTGGCCGTTGGAGGGGATATAAAGGGGCTTGCTGTGGCTGTGTAGGAGTTTGATGATGTACGATGGGGGCGGGGTGTTGACGACGGATGAGGCGATGAGTTGGTACATTGTCTTGTGGTCTGAGGGGCTTGAGGGGTCGTGGACGAGACCTGCGCCGCAGACGTTGACAGCGCCAGAGAGGAAGGTCATGCGGATTGATTTTTGGTGTGCGATGCCTTGGAGTGTGCGGATGAGATATGTTCGTTCGAGGTCCTGGTTTTGGGTTAGTATGGAATGGAATGGGTTGGATAGGATGGGGGTTGTGGTTTTGGTAAGAAAGGAGGACCAACCTTTGACTCATGCGTCCATTGGTCGCGTAGCTCGTCCATCGAGCTAAATTCGCCAAATGGACTCAGTATACCACCCATCAGCCCGGATTTGCCTACGGCTCGCTTCACAGAGTCGAAGCCCGAGCCGACGAAGTCTTTGGCGCCGACTACTCCGGCTACCGAGCTGGTTACCTTGCCTAGCACATTGTACGCGCCAGTCACGGCTCGCTTTCCTGTTGCAACGGTCTGGACGATGTGTTCTGCCGTCTCTAGACGGGGGTATATGATTGGCACAGCGACCATCCAGAGACAGTGTTGCACACTGGGTGGGAGCATAGCAATCTTTGGGAAGAGACCCTGGTACGTGGGACCGGCCATGACCTGGTGTGGGTTTCTTTCTGAGCGGCAATCTAGACCGACGACGACGACACCAGGACCAAGGTATTTAACAAAGTGCCAGCCTGTGCCAGTGATAGTGAAGAGGTCCATGTCGTTGCTGACGTTGCGAAGGATGTCGAGGGTTGTGTGATGCTGGAAGAGGAGGTACATCTCGATACCGATGCGGCCGATGTTCTTGAACATGTTGGAGAACTGCATGTGCTCAGGATACGAGCCGAATCCATCGAAGCTGTGGACATGTTAGTGCTACTCGTTTACTGTTGGTTGCTGCATGGATGACTCACATGTCATGATCATCAATCTGGCAGACATAAGGAATCTGCGCGAATGACTCCCTGATGTGGGGTTGATCGAAGTGGCTGGTATAGTAATGGAAGTATGCGTAAGAAACATCCTGCTGGTTAGCCGCTGTCCAAGGGGCGTTCTTTCTAGCTTCTTTTCCGCTGATAGTCAACCACTGCTTGAGAGATGGAATCTCTTTCCACATGCGATCCGCATAGATCTGACCACCCAGGCATAACTGAGCGTGGAAACCTCCGATCTCATTGTGCTTCTGCATGATATCCTTCCACATGTAACCGACGCCACCCAGACGAGCCCGCTCACCAGCATTTACATTGAGCGAGAAGTCATTTCCAGAGGTAGCAATAAACCGCCAGTTAGTCTCGTGTCGACCAGCGACAAGGAACTCATAGCGAGTGCAGCCAAGGTGCGAAGTGATAGCGTAGGTCCATTTCGCAGGACCCGCATCGTCCATCTGCAGATCAATCTCATACTTGTAGAAAGTCCAACGTTGATGGGCAGCAATGTTAACTGCCTTCAATTGTCTCGGGTTTGGAGACAGATCTAGACTCTGGTGCATGTGAATCGTGGGTGGCTGTGCGGCATCTGTCACAAGAAGGATAGATCCCATCCATATTCCACGCTCGATATCCATGTTGGCGTAGCGCAGATAAGGACCAAAGTAGACACCGTTGGTTGGAGCGTTTTTGTACAGATCCATACCACTACTCGGTGGGGGCCCAGAGAAGCCAGACACAATGGGAGACTGTAGGCTCTCAAAGCCAGGGGTCAAAGGCACACCCGGCGACGCCAGAGGCTTCCCGAAAGCCGACAGACCCGGAGAAACTAGCGGGTGGGCACTATACACACTTCCCACTGGGGACAAGGGCGTGTCGTTGAGATTAAGCGGCGTAGGTCCCTTCGGGAACTCCCACTGAGTGGATTGCGTGGGCAAGTGGATATAGTAATACTGCCCCGAGCTTGGATCCATGTGGGCAATCCATCCCTCTGGAAGAGGTGGTGGAGACGCTGGACCTGCGCTAGATGGCCCCGGAGAAGTCACCTGAATTGTCTGATGATGGAAACCAGACAAATCATTAGCAACAGACGCCTGTGGGGACTGCCCTGTTTGCTGTTGCTGTTGCTGTTGTTGTCTCTGGTCATTTGCAAAAGCGGGGTGGTCCAGCGGTGAGACTGCTGGTGTAGGGGAAGGTGCTTTTGTAGCAGGATTGGGTTGATTTACTAAGGCCGGATGCATCATTGCTGCTCCAGCTCCAGCTGCTGCTGCCGTTGCGGCCGCGGCCGCAGCACCGCTTTACTTTTCAATGGGATACCCATTTGAAGTAGAAGGACCAGATACACTTGAGTAGGCAGGAGGAGGAGAGGAGCTGAGACGCATCCGGTCCATGTCTTGTTCTAAAGCGTTTGGTGGAACTCTTCCCGGTTGTTCTTGCTGTTGCTGCTGTTGCTGTTGCCCAGATGCAGGGTGCATTTGGGATGGGGATCCACTGTACTGACTAGGATGAGCCTGAGGCGGCGGGCTGCTATATTGACCCGGATGAGCCTGGGGTGGCGGGCTGCTATATTGACCCGGATGAGCCTGGGGTGGCGGGCTGCTGTATTGACCTGGATGAGATTGGGGCGGTGGGCTGCTATATTGACCCGGATGCACCTGAGGCGGCGGGGTGCCATAAGACCCCGGCATCTGGGGCGGCGGACTACTATATTGACCGGGATGCACAGTAGACTGCTGACTATTATCAGTGACTACCTCATCACCCTGATAAACCGTAGGAGGGCCATGAGGCTGCGAGCCCGGCTGCTCAGTCGGAGTCCACGGGCGCGGCTGCGGCGGCGGCGGCTGCTGCTGCTGCTGCTGCTGTGGGAAAGTCGGCTGCTGTCCGGAGTACTGCTCTGCCCGTCTCTGCGCAGCTACGTTATGCGACTGGATACCCTGCAGGGTCCCAGTACCCGCAATGCCAGCAGCAGCATAGCGAGCCTCGATATCTGAAGCGGGCTGCTGGCCCGGTCCAACGATCGGAGTCTCTGGCGGCGGGGGCGAGCCACGCTGGGCGCGAGTTGTCGATGTGGAACTGATGCGATTGAGCGGGCCTTGCGGGGCCTGGAGACTTGACGGGGGACGGGCTGCAGAGGTTGAGCTTTGGCGTTGCGGGGGCGGGTAGTATTGTTGACGGTAATCGTATTGAGTTGTGTTTGATGGTGGCTCTGGTGGGCCGGGTGGTTGACTTGCCGGGGGTCGAGGGTACGGTCTTGCAGCTAAGGCCTCGCGATCCGGCGCATCATAGCTAGGCGATTCAGGCAGCGGCTTTGGGGCGGCGCCTCTTCGTTCGGCTAGTGTTGCGACTCGGGGCTCACGACCGTCCCGCGGCCGGAGCGCTGTTGGGTATTCGTTTGGACTCACGGAGCCAGAGCCAGGACCAGCTGGCGGAGACCCATATCTAATGTTGTCGTGATATCGGTCATTTGAACTTGAGGCGCGCATTTGGGGACGTTGACGGTCATCTGGGTAGGGGAGCGGGGCGTTTGGTGGGGGACTGGAGCCCGCGGCCGATGCTGGAGATGATGAGTCCCGTTTGTTGATGCGTAGAGGGCCGATGGTGGGTGATTCTTGTCTTGCTGGGCGGTCGTTGAGGAAAAGCTCCTCGGGATGGAGGGCACGGCTGCTGCTACTCATGGCTGAGAAATTGCGGCTAGGCTTGTAGCTGCAGAAGACAGAATCCAGCCACAGCAGAGTGCGTCGAGGTAGGCCCAATTACGGAGATAAGCGCGAAGATCGTTGGGTAGATGCGGGGCACGGGAAAAACTCCAGGGCTATCTCATCTATTCATAGAAATTGTCCGGGAGTAAGAAGAAAAAGTAAAAAAGAAAAGGTGAAGAAGGATCAGGGAGATTTTCTGTAGCCGCCAAGTTGGGCGAGACGCTGACCCCGCAGGTGACGAGAATCATCACAAGTTGCTGCCTGGGGGCCTGCATATTATATACTACGGTAGTACTGTAGTACTATAGTACTACCTATGTATATATGGATGGAGTAACTAGATGTAGTTCCAGGTTGATACCTACCTACAGGTATGTAGGTATATATTTACATTCTAATTATGGGTCGGCCCGAGCAGTTCCACGGATGATTAAATTCCACATGTTCGTTTCTATACATACAGCCCATATCCATCATCAATCATGCTAACATACAACCCTCATAGTCCATAGTCCCAAAAATACAAATATGCCCTATTAGCGCCAATGCTGTTCAAACCTCCCAAAAACATCCAAAATAAAAATGGAATCAAAACTCCACTATCCAATCAAAACCCGAAATTAACCATCTGAAGTCCCTCCTGGGCCATCAGGTCAGACCAATCCACATCTAAGGTGTGACCCACATGCATGAGTCGCTCCAATTGTCGCTCATAGACAATCTGCAGGATAGCGCGAGTTGTTGCCGCATTGCGACCCATGCCATCTTCCTCGTCTTCCATGCTAGTCATTAATTCCATCGCCATCATCTTCAATCCACTAGCTGATGCCGTAGCGCCTGCTAGGAACAAGGGGAAGACGAGGAAGTGTCGATCAGCGCGTCGAGTGTGTGTAGTTCGCTCGGCTAAGCGCAAGATCTCTCCTACGTGGTGGTCTATTTCTGCATCGGGGGAGAATTCGGACTCGACACGTTGTCCAGGCCACATGCTGCTGTAGGAGAAGAGTTGACAGACATGGTACAGTGTAGCGGACTAGTAAGAGTTAGTTTTGCTTTTTTGTCTTCGAATAGATGGAAAAAGCGAAAGCGGAAAGACTAACCTGCTGCATGATTTCCCGAGACCGCCGCGGGAGATTATCCTGGTGTTGATGCAAGAAGGCAACATCGGGAGATTCCCACAATCTCCCGAAAGCCTGGCGCAGATCGCTTAATTCCTGGGATCTCTTATCGAACTCCTCAAAAGGCACGTTCTGCTTCTCGTGACGAAGCCGACTAGCCAAGAACCCAAGTTGAGCAGCCAGCCGGAATGTGTCGTGGTACAGACGCATGATCACAGGTAGACTCTCATGCTCGTCGGAGTAAATTACACTATAGCCCTCTGGGGCAGAAGGGTAGAGAAGACATTCCGATCCAGGGAGCATCTGGTGATCGATGACGGCTCGTACAAACTCTCCCGTGCCTGCTCCGCTGAACAGGGCGTAGAGGTCGATGTGGCACACCCACCAGAGGATAAATGGGTGAGGTTCTTGGCCATACTTGGCGCGGCGAAGGAAGGCGATGTGAAGGAGACGGGAGATATGGTGAGACCAGAGGTTGGAGCCGTGTGGCTCGGCGGCTGCGATCTGAGGGATGTAAGTATATAGATTGCGAGAAATGACAACTAGAACCGCTTACCTCGTAGATCAGAAGCAGGAAGTGGGTAAGGAACAGTCCGTCGGAAACGAGATCATCGTTGTTCCGAAGGCTGACTTGGAGCGAAGGGAAAGCTTGTTGATAATATTGTAGCGCATCGACATTGTGACCTGTGCCGCTGTGCGAGAGACTAAGGGCTGATACAGCCATCATAGCGTGGGAAAGCTGTGATTCTAGTTAGTAACGGAGATCGTATGCACTAAAGAATGGAATACCTACAGGAGGGAAACGAGTGGCTTCCTGCTCTAGGAAGTCCATGCTAAGAGTCATAAAATGACTGTCAGATCCGGAAGAATCATCCAGTCTAACGTCATGTGGGAACAACTGCCGCCATACGACCTGACGGAAGTGAGAAAAGATCGTAGAATCCTGACTTTGCTGATCAAGCCTCGGGTCCAGGAAAGTCATCTCCTCCACCTTCACATCCGGCGAAGGAAGCGAAGTGAAATTTGGCGAGAGAGACAGATTGCAGAAAGGATCTGAGATCTCCGACGTTGGTGAGATCCTCGTAATCTTCCCACTTGACGGCGAGCGACGAGTAGCGTCTTCAAAAGTCCTCAAAATGACCACATTAGGATCTTCACCTCTCACACTCGAGTCGCCCTTGGTCGCACTCGTAGGGCTACTAGCCACCGAGCTCCTACACTCGCTGGTTGGATTTGATCTAGTTTTCTCAAGTGCATCGTCTGCATACTCTGGCAGGGAGGCGAAACTGTCTGGTGTCATGACGACATGGTACGTGCCTGGACTAAACGCCTCTGCTTTCTTTTCCCGCTCTTCGTCCGAAGTGAGGAGGGAAAAGGGCGGAAGGGAATCGCCGGGAGAGAAATAATCGGTTCTCTCATCATTGGAACCTGGCGAAGTGACTACTCTAGTTAGTACTAAAGAAAAAAAAAGAAAACCCTCTTTAAGTAAAGAAAAAGAAGGTGCTTACGATCCCAAACGACATGGCCATTTGTCTTCACATCGGCCATGCGGCCCATGATACGAGGGGTATCATCGCGAAAGGCTAGGCGTGGGCGATAATCACAAGTATGGCCTAGACGTGTACATTGCTGTCAAGAAGTATAAGTAAATGAGTGGAGATTAGCCAAAGCGTGAAGAATGCATACATTACATTGCGGGTGTCCTTCATCACATTTGACTAGGGAATGTGTGTCAGCCACGGAATTGAGACCTCCGGAACAGAGTTATCCAAAGTCAGTCCCTTACCCTTTCGGCTCTGGAAAAAAGAAAAAGAAAAATGACCAATTAATCAACTGTTTTTCGTATTTAAGAAAAACACCCAAAAAAACTCACTCGGCATGTCCTAGATGAAATAAGTGTGAATTCAAGGTCGAGTGGAAATATAGAGACGATCACTTACCAGCAACCGGTACGAGATCGCGGAGGCAATCGGATGCGCGGTGGAGCGATCAAGGTCTTTTCGGATTTGGCAAAGGCATCAAAAAGATCTTCCTTGGGAGCAATGATGGGTAACCGCAGAGGAGGTTTCCCAGAGACTTTGCTCCGTCTGTTTTGCATGACCAGACTGGTCGTCATAAGGCTATGTTATGATCAGTTGATGTACGGACAGGCTGAATTGGAATAAACTTACTAGGGTACTCCGGTATAATATATATTAAAGGTTCAATTGAGGGAAGAAAAGAGAAAGCTAAAGAAAGAAAAGAATATGGGGGAAGGTAAATTAATAGAAAAAAGAAGTTATAACATAGAAGATAGAGGGGGGGGAAAGGAAAGAGAAAGGCTAGATGTATGTTCCCATCAGAAAAATGCATAGGTTCATGGGCGCAGTATTTTGGACGGGTGGCGGGAATAAGGGAAAATAAAATTATAATATTTTATAATATTCTATGTTCTATATTATATTATTTATATGAATATATGAATATGTGAATATTTGATTTATTCAAATTATTCGTCTCGTTTATTTGGAAAAAAAAAGCAGACTATAGAGAGCTAAGGGGAGAGAAAAGGCGAAGGGGAAAAAATAGTAAGAAAAAAAAAAAAAGGGTGGAAACAAAAAAGCCAAAAAACAAGGAAAAAAAAGAGAGACAAAATAAATAAATAAATGGCATGCAGATGCCAACCATGTGGACAACTCTTGGAAGTTACTATTATTACCCTTAGCAAGGGTTGTCACGGACTAAGGGGAACTAGGGCACAGAGAGAGATAGTGAGATAGTGAGATAGTGAGAGATGGATAGGGGAAGTGAGAGAAAAAAAGACGGGAAGGGGCTGGCTGAAGCCACGTCGAGATGAACTATGAGGAAATCAGGGCTTATCCCTTTGAATCGGAGCCGAAGAATGAGCTCAATTAGGAATCTACATAAGAAGAGCGTCTGGGGAAACTAAAGTCTCGATCGGCCCGGACCCCCGGTCTGGATCGACTTGCTGAGGTGAAAATCGAAGAGATCACACTTTTGGCCCAATTGGGTCAAGTTTGGACTAGTGTAGACTGGTTCGGACAGGTTTAGACATTTTGGGACTCTCCGCATTCCAAACGGACTTGGCCGAGACTTAAGCGAGTGGCGCAGACTTGGGAGCATTTTCTTACAGGAATTTTAACTTGTCTATGGCTTTTTTACGGAGTCGACTGTTTCCCTCGGGAATCACTTCCCATTGGTACGATTACTATTAGCCCTCGTATCGAACCCCCCGTAAAATATAGCCCAAAAAAGTTAAGAAATAAGCATCATTCATGATCGACCTGTAAATAAAATAAAATCAACTCAAACCCAAACCCAAACCCAAAAAATCCCAAACCACGTGGGATTCTTAATTCGGGAAAGCTAGGGCCTCGTCCAAAAGACGCTGTACCGGTCCGGATCGCTCACTGGCTCTCCACTCACGAACTCGGACGATAAGTGTGTCAGGCACACCCGCTTGGGCATGCGAGCATAGTTTCAGGTACGCCAGAATGGCCTCTGCACGACCCTTGCGGATGGCCTCGACAGACCCGTCAACTTCCCCCGTGAGAATCTTCTCCGCGAGAGCAGTCAAGGGTACGGCCATTTCCTCACCGGAGGCATCCGGTAAAGCGATCCACTGATCCACTCGTGTAAAGAACGCCCGGAGCTCATCGTAGCCCGTGCTCACGACCTGTCGTCCACCAAGGTGGAGGATTTGAACCAGCGGACCGGTCACCTGGTCCACGTACTTTCCCAACACTGTGGTTAGTGTTAGCAAGGAACGACGCTAGGGGCTTCCCACAATTTGAGGTGTAATTTTAGGGGGGGATTTAGGGGGATTTAGACTGACCTTCACCCGAACCGGCGGTGGGGTTG